GAGATTTGTGGTAGCAGTGCCTGGTTGGGCCATGCACACGGTGTAGCCATCTCGCGCCCTGCCAAGCGGTAACATTAGTGGTGTGCAGCCAATCCCCCAGTTCCTTCTCTACCACTTTTGGCTTGAGTCGGAGTGACCAGCAGCACCCTCTCTTACCTCAAATAAGCTTAATAGTTCATAGTTGTTCCTGATAGTGTTAGCTTAGTTGTAGTTAGCTGCCCCATCCCCTTGCCCTTCATATTTAATATTCTACTTTTTCATTTTTAAAAAAATTATATTTTTCACCTTTCCTCTTTTACCCCTGCCTCCCTTGTCAGGTACTCAGCTATTGCCTTAAAAAAAAGGGAGGGGGCGGCGGGAATGGAGAAACAGGGATAAACCCTGTTTTTCTTTCCAAGGACTTGTTCTCTCAAGCATGCCCAGCGCACCTGGCTTTAAACACTGCCTGATTTGCAGACTTTCCATACTGGTCTCTAACGGCTGTGCACAGTGTCCCCCCTGCCTTGGCAAGACACACAATACCCAAAAGTGTCTGCACTGCAGAAAACTGACAGCCTGGACAAGGAAGGCCAGGGATCTCTAATTGAAGCTCCTTATGATGAAGAAATCCCTCAGACTGGCCTCCAAGCCCGAGTCCAGGACGCTTCCTGGCCAACGGGCGGCAGCATCTGACGGGATCTGCTTCAACAGCGGCTGCTAAGGAGCCTACTTCTAGAAAGGATACCAAAAAGCCACACTCATCCCCATGTCGAGAATTGCCTAAAAGAAAGTGATCTCCAAATGAAAAATCTGCCCCGGTATTGATGGCACCAAGAGCGCCGGACAGTGAGGCACCGGGAGCGTCCGGTACTGAGACTTTCCGAGGAGCTAAAGACCCTATGTGGGCAAGCTCTAATAGAGGTTCACACAGTAAAGTCAAGCCTCCCAGCTTGGCACCTACGCAGCAGAAGAGAACCTGTGCACCAAGCAGTACAATGGCGCCATCTGCTGTACCTATGAAGCACAGCTCTATCATCTGCACTGATCGCTTCAACTCTTATTCCTGGTCAGTGCACGTCCCTGGCACCGAGTGTCACAGTTCCGCAGCAATTGGGCGTGTGGACCTGAAAGTGGCCTCAACGCTTGAATCTCCTCTACTTGGTACGGACATTACCCCATCTAGACCAGGACCAAGCCTGTTAACCACTCCCTGTGGATCAGCCCCTCCTATCTCCAGTGATGAGGAAGAAGAGGATGAGGCAGTAATATACACTTCACCACTAAACATCTACAGACATGCAGGGCTGGTATGGTCAACCATGGGCACTGCCCCTATACCATTCCCACCAAACTGGCCATACTGGGATCCACGGGTAATGTATAGGGCCCAAAACCTCAGGCCCCCTATCCCGTCTAGGTCCATAGTAGTATGGTCCTCTTTGCCAACTGTCCCAGCACCCTCAGAGACACAAGAGGAAGAGACCCAGGAGCCTGAGGATACAACTGAAGGTGACACTTTGCTGCCCACTCACATCTCATTCTTCTCTCCTCCTCCCCCCCTTCCCCCAAACTACAGGGGATGATTTTATATCTTTTCAAGACCTCTTCAAAAGCACAACTACCAGAGACTTAACACAAGCTCACGGACATACTCCAGGCATCCCCAGCAGCAAAGATAGCCCTGCCAATTCATGATGCTATCAGAGAGCCTGTAAAAATAACCTGGCAGACACCTTCTACAGCCCCTCCCTCGTGTAAGCGGTCTGATAAAAAGTATTACATGACAGCAAAAGCTGCTGAGTTTTTATTCACTCACCCCCCACCAAACTCTCTGGTGGTGGGTACGGTCAACCAAAGGGGAAAACAACACCAGTCCAGAACGACCCCATATAATAAGGATTAGAAAAGGCTAGATCTCTTCGAATGGAAAGCCTACTCCTCCGCCACACTCCAGTTCCACATAGCTGATTATGCGGCCCTACTGGCAAAATACACACACAGTCTGTTTGCTAAAATGTCAGAATTTATTGAAAGTTTGCCTGATGACAAAAAAGAGCAAACATTTCTGAGGGGTATCTCATCGCCAGGATGAGGCCTACAGGCCTCTCTTGACTCTGCAGACACAGCAGCATGGTCCATTGCTACATCTATGGTCATGCACCATGCATCCTGGCTCCATCTTTCTGGGTTCCCAAGGGAGGTCCAAGCAACTGTTGAGGACTTGCCCTTTGAAGGTCAAAAATTATTCACAGACAAAACCGGTGTCTCTCTACGCACCCGAGGGTGACCTTAAAAGCCCTGGATATCTTCATATCGGCAAATAAGAAACAGTAGGTTTTACAACCAGAGATTCCGGTCTCTGCCATACTTCCGACCACAAAGACAGTACAATCAGTGGCATAAACAAAAATGGAACAGACGTCGGCAGAACCAAGATCAACCTTTGACGTCTCAACCATCCACCTCCAGACAATCATTTTGAAGGTCTGATGGAGGGCACGAGACCACCACACTCTGATTCCGAAACCAGATATGGTGCCCCATCCATTTGGAGACCGTCTGTCACCATGCTACCCAGTCTGGAACACCATCATGACAGACAAATGAGTTTTAGAGATTATCCAGAAGTGCTACTCCATCCTCTTTTTATTTCTATCCCACCCCTCTTCCCCGTCCCTCTTCAGGGACCCCTCTCACGAGCACCTGTTGTAACAGGAAATAAACCACTTCATACAATTAGGTGCCATAGAACCTGTACCATCAGAACACGGGGAGAGGTTTTTATTCCCATTACGTTCTAACTCAGAAAAAGACTGGCAGGTGGAAACCCATCCTGGATTTACAAAAACTCAACAAATTTATGAGAACACAACATTTCAAAGTGGTGACTCTAATGTCAGAATTATTGTGGTTAGAGAAAGGACACTGGCTTTTGGCCCCCGACCTCCAGAACGCTTATTTTCATATTACCATTAACCCGCCACTCAGAAGATTCCTGAGATTCAGCCTAGGGAAACAGCATTTTCAATACAGAGTATTACCCTTCGGCCTTTCCACTGCTTTGCCTAGCTTTTTAGTCTGAGGGCTTTGCGTTTCAGTGATGAGGCTGCTGTAAATTGGTTTGCCAAGCTCCGCATCCAATAAGAAGAATGGCTGGGTTAGTGGTGGTTGTACTTGAGACATCTTAACTGTTACACAATGCCACGGTTTTGTGTTGAAATTGTAGCTATAATTTATAAGTGACTAAATTTGGCCACAGCTTTTTTCCTCAATAAATTGAATCTGTGGACACATCCCTGCTTACTGAAGTCATGCACATGCTGCTGCATGTCCTGCTGCTGCATGTCCTGCTAAAGAGTTTTCCAGTGCTTTGCTGAAAGAGCAATACTGGGAAATGGCAGCCAAAATATAGATACAGTAGAACTTCAGAGTTATGAACACCTCGGGAATGGAGGCGGTTCGGAACTCTGAACAAAGCATTATGGTGGTTCTTTCAAAAGTTTACAACTGAGCATTGAGTTAATACAGTTTTGAAACTTTATTATGCAGAAGAAAAATGCTGTTTTTAACCATCTTAATTTAAATGAAAGAAAGTTTCCTTACCTTTGTCAAATCTTTTTTTTAAACTTTCCCTTTTTTGGTAGTTTACGTTTAACACAGTGCTTTACTGTATTTGCCTTTCTTTTTTTGGTCTCTGCTACTGCCTGATTGCGTGCTTCCAGTTCCAAATGGGGTGTGTGGGTGACTGGTGTGTTCATAACTCTGAGGTTCTACTGTATTTGCTGGCCTACACTGTGATCTCTTAATTTCAGGTTGCTATCCTAGTTAGAACTTCTGCAAGCTAAAAATCAGTTATTTTTTGCTCATGATTAGGTTTTGTTAGTGATTGGGCGAATGGATGTTCCAAATAGTATGTAAGTTAAAATGTCAGGAAGTCCCTGTCTAGAATGATAGGTGCTCCTTTTCCTGGAATTTGCATATATAAAAATAGAACTGTTGCTAAACAGACACAGTGAAATATATCTGATGTCTGCTAGGAGGGTACTCTTGTAATGCCTGCTGGCCTGCAATGGGTGGGTGTCTTTCTCAGAAGTACTGCCTCCTAGCATGAGATTACTGTGCTGGCAAACGTCACCCTGCAAACACTATCAAAAGGAGGCAGTGCTTCTGGTTAACACCAAGTATGGTACCAAGTATCAGAGGGGTAACCGTGTTAGTCTGTATCCACAAAAACAACAAGGAGTCCAGTGACACCTTAAAGACTAACAGATTTATTTGGGCATAAGCTTTCGTGGGTAAGAAACCCAGAAGAAGTGCAAAAAGAAGTGGGTTTTTTACCCACGAAAGCTTATGCCCAGATAAATCTGTTAGTCTTTAAGGTGCCACCAAGTATGGTGGAATTCCTCAATTACTTAGGGGCATGACTTTCAAAATGCCTTTCCCATCCTTTAATGTGGAAACCCTGTGTTCACAGATATCTGGCTTTTGCACAGGTATCTGAGGTTCTTGTTGCATTTCATGTTAAAAGTTGCCTCATGGGAGTTCCTGCTAGCTGGCAGATTGATGATCTTTCTCTGAGACTGTTGCAGATGTGTTGAGGTGGCTGCTTATCGCCACTGAATAGCAACAGCTGTTGTTCATTGATGGGTATTGACTGCTTCTGAAGGAAGTTCTGCCCAGTGCGGTACCACAAGCCTGGTAACTGTAGCCATGTGAATGGCCAGAAAAAGATAAGCAGGCAGGGGAAGGAGAGTAGACTCTCACCCGGCTCTGATAGGGACCCCTTTGAGGGCAGTGTGTCTTTGGACCTGATTCTACTTAAAATGGACCATGAAAAATTTGATTAGTATCTGTCCTGAATTTGATTACTCGGGGAAGGATGCGCTAAAGTATTGTTACCCAAGCACCACTATTTAAAAAATAATAATGACCATTATGAAATGTGCATTTGTTGCCTGATCAAAATGAGTACGTTTAAAGCATTAAATGTGGCCCTTCTTTATTCCTTCATTTTTTGACAGTTACACCCAAGCCAGGAGCATCTACGGTACAAAATGTAACTCAAGCATCATCCCCAGCTCAGACGCAGGCCCCACAACAGAATCTTCAGTCTGTGCAAACAACTCATTCCTTTCCTTCTGTGACCCCTGACCTTATTGTCCAGCCGCCAGTAATGACAGTGGTGCCTCCTCAACCACCTGCACCTCCTCCCCCTCCTCCCCCACCTTCTGTTCCCCCAACCCCTGCTCCCCAGCCCATTCAGGCACACCCACCTGTTATCCCAACAGCTGCACAGCCTGTGAAGGTGAGTAAACAAGGACACTCTGGAGTTAGTCAGGATTCTTTGTGTTCAATTTTCTCTCTAGAAGAGAGAAGATTTTTATTGGATGACTATTTTAAAACATTCACTGTGAAGTCCCTTTCATCTTAGGGTTTAAAATTGCTTTACAGATTTTTACTGATTGGAGGGATGGGACTGAGACACAGAAGTGAAGGGTGGGATTTTCAAGAGCACTTAGGAGAGTTAGGCTCCTAACTCCTCATTTGTCTTTGAAAATCCCACCTGAGTTACTTGTCCAAGGTCATACAGCCGGTCAAGGGCAGAATCATAGATTGATGATTAGGGTCCAGGAGTTCTGATTCCCAGTCCTCTTCTCTAACCACTAAGACCCTGCCTCACTTGTCCTTATCCATTAAAAGTAGAATCTGTTTTCCATAGATTGTTGACTGTAGCAAAGTCATTGAGTAGAACAGTATTTGCCCATCACAATTTCCACTAAACATTTAGCCAGCAGCCTTGTGTACTGGGATTAATAGTGGGTTTTTTTTGAGGCTTTTCAAGGAAAAGAAAGCCATCTGGCTTGAAAAGCTGTGTCACTGTGGCTAAGCTATCCAAAAGTGACTAGTAATTTTGGGTGCCTCAATTTTTGGATGTGCAACACAACATTCTTTAAATTTACTATTCAAAAAGAGCTGAGTTCCCACCCAATAAAATTGGGCTCCTTTATTATGTCTCAAGTTGAGTACCTGAATCACTAGTTGCTTTTGAAAATTTTGGCATACATCTCCTGCTAACTAATATTTCTTATTTTGAGCAATGCCTTTTATATCATTACATCAGTAAGATTGCCACTTCCTTTCTCCTGAGACATGGCACTTTTGTAAATGGCACCTGACAGCCACAGAAGTTCTTGACAGAGTTAGGTACCCAAGTTATATGACCCTTCAGTGGGAGTTGGTCACCTGATTGCCTTAGGTACTTCTGAAAATCCCATCAAGCAACTCAGCCAAAATAATCCAAGATCTGGGCTTCTGTAAACACCGCACAAGCTGTAGAAATGAATCCTAAGAGGTTTACTTGACCCTAACATGGTTCTTAAGTAAAAGATTTTGAATACACCTCTACCCCCGATATAACGCAGTAAAGCAGCGCTAATGGGGGGCGGGGCTGCGTGCTCCGGCAGATCAAAGCAAGTTCGATATAACGCGGTTTCACCTATAATGCAGTAAGATTTTTTTTTGGCTCCTGAGGACAGCGTTATTTCGGGGTAGAGGTGTACTCATTTAACCATCCTCTTGACCTTTGCTAATATAATAAAGATAATTTGTGGTTACACATTTTCTAGAGGGCTCAGTACAAACTGCTTCCAGCATGCATATTTATAGAAAGCTTTTTAACTTTAGTCCTATCTCACCTGAGTACTTAGTGGTTAGACTTTAATATACAACCAGAGGTGGATCCTGTGAATACAATAGTAACAAAAGAGCACAAGACTAAATAAAATATTATAATGCTGTTGTATTTGTTGTTTTACAGACAAAAAAAGGAGTGAAGAGGAAAGCAGACACCACAACGCCAACAACAATAGATGCAATCCACGAATCCTCCTCGCTGCCCACTGAACCCAAGTCTGCCAAGATGGGCCCCCGAAGGGAAAGCAGCCGGCCAGTGAAACCTCCAAAGAAGGATGTTCCGGACTCTCAGCAGCATGTGGTAGAAAAGAGTAACAGTAACAAAGTGTCTGAGCAGTTAAAGTATTGCAGTGGCATCATCAAAGAGATGTTTGCCAAGAAGCATGCTGCCTACGCATGGCCCTTCTACAAACCTGTGGACGTGGAAGCACTGGGACTGCATGATTATTGTGATATCATTAAACATCCCATGGATCTGAGCACAATCAAAGTAAGCTCAGTTTCACATAGCCAAAAAAAAAATAAAATAAAAAAAAAAATTGACTGTGCAGGAGGAATAACTTCCCTGGGGAAATGCAGTCTGTTTGACATGCCAACTCATGTATATGGGCGTACGTGTGCAGCTGCATGCTTAACATGGTGTGTTGTAGATATCCACCAAAAATGTGTGTGTTGCAAAAGAAAGGATTCTTCTCTGGGACTCTGTCTGAAATCAATTAACCATTCATTCTGTGTAACCTGAGAATTCTGGTAGGTGAAGTCTCTCATCTGTCCATAGTGTGCTACTCCTTTAAGTGACAGGTCCTGAAAAGAAGACAGTCCTTTCCAGAATGGGTCTTAAAAAAAAAAAAAAAAATTGCCAGTGGATTTTTAAAAAGTAAATTTCCCCAACATTGTCCCCCTACAACTCAAAAAACCTAGATCCAAAAAAATGGGCTAAATCAATAAGAACAAATTGCTAAAGTAGGGGAATTTACTTAAAAAAAAAAAAAAGAAAAACCACCACCACATTGGCTATTCACCTTTAAAGGAAATGTTTTGCTTAATGTAAAGGACTACGTTTCCAGAGCATCTAAATCGAAGCCTTCTGCTGTGAGGACACAGCTAGCTCCCTCTCATGGAGTATTTGGGAGTTACTTATCCAAGAGAAGTAATTGCAAAGCAGTCCATATCTCTGCTGAAAATGTCAATTCATTGTTTGGAGCACTGTCATTTTATAACCTCATCATGGACATAGCTTTAAACTGCAGAATTCTTTGGTTGTATCAATTTAACTCTGAGCCCTAATATTCACACAACCCAGGTTTCTTTTTTAAAATACTTTAAGCAAAAGAAAGAGACAAATTTCTCTCTCCCACACCCCCATATTGAGATTACACTAGGAACTTTGCCAGAATGAAGTGAATGAAGGAGTATAGTTTTTTCTTCAATTGAATAATTAAAAACCGTGCTGAAGATTGAGCTGGTACCATCGCCCCTTTTTCTGAATATGCATAATAACTTTGCACATTCTGTAGTATTCTCCAAATCTAACCAAAAAAAAACAGCTAGGAAATTCTGAAAAACCACAAGTACAGAGAGGATCTGGATGGCTGAAGCATTGGTAATGGGATAACAAAGTTCTTTATTCCAGGTCACTGGTTGAAATTTAGTTCAAGTTGGTTGTGAGCAAAAATCATTGCCCATGACAACTGTTTTATGTTTATATGAAATGCATTGGTGGGTCTTGTTCCAGTTGCTGATGGTCAGGTGTCCACCTCTCAAAAAAACACCATCACTTTTGGCCTTGTTGTTGGCAGGCACAGCAGAGAGGCAAAGGATTGAATGAGCCATGGAGACAGAACTATCCTCACCTCTGGCTCCTTCAGACAAAAATTGAGGTATATAATGAGATGGTGTGGACAACTGTCGATAAATTGAGATCTGCACACATCAGGGCTTCACACCACTACATTCACTTCATAATAAAATGAGGTTGCTGTGCAGGGAGTTTATTTTAAGGCTTGTGTTTTTGTAATGCCCGACAGTCTCACTCAGGACTGACTAAGCCTGCACAGTTCAACTGCTTTGTTTCTTTAATCAAGCTCTATCTCTTCCCCGGGGGTGGGGATAAGATTCATCCTTAGATCCTTGGGGTATTTGTTCCCACACTACTCTCAAAAATCCTACATTGCCACAGCCAGTTGGATGTGGTTCCCTGTGTCTGACAGAAAAATGCCAAGCATGTTGCCTTCTTGAATGCTTCCAAGTTCCTGCTGACCTGAAGGAGGGATTATCCTGTGGTCCCAATTTCTAATTCCTCAAACTGTCACTGCTATGCTGGACTGACCCGACTTGCGGGATGTCTTTAACTGCTACTGACAGTTTGGGATTTCTCTTATAAGAAAGTGATACAAAGATTAAAAACTTGTTTGTTTAAAAAATAATTTCAGGTGTGTGTGTGAAGTTTTAGCGTATTGTTGTTCAAACAAAACCCTGCACTGTGATTGGTAATGATGTTCATGGGCATGGGGACCAGTAATCTAGTGGATTAGTTCCTTCATACTGTCCTTTGAATTGGTAGTCAGTGAAAGTGTCTGCCACATGTGGGCAGTCGTGTTCTCCCATGTAGCTTGCAGCTGCCCGTTACTATGGAGGGATGTTCTATGAAGGAATACCAGCTCCAGCATACAATGTTCCATTTTGGTCTCAGCAGTTTATCTGCATTGTATGCTATTTCTGTAGTCGTCTTTTGGATGCACCTCCATGTTATAGTTCAGGATGGCTGTAATCTGCTCCATTTTATGTCAATCCAATGCAGATCTCAGGTTTCTGGCAAGTTTCCAAAGCAATGCTCCATTTGGCAAAGGTTAGATATAGATGGAGATTAGGTGGAAGCCCAGAACTCTATGGATGCCATAGATCCAAGATATTTCTTGTCCATTCAGTAACTTGTTTTGCTTGCTCTGTTGATAGTGGAGTTTTGTTTTCCCTTCTAGTCTAAACTGGAGAACCGGGAATACAGAGATGCTCAGGAATTTGCAGCAGATGTCCGATTGATGTTTTCCAATTGTTACAAATACAACCCTGCTGATCATGAGGTGGTAGCTATGGCACGGAAACTGCAGGTAAAGAAACTGCTTTGTTAGAGTGCTTTTCTGTTTTGAACTCGTACCTGAAACTTTTTCATAATGGTCTAGCATAACCTATACCCTAAACTTAAAAGTAAAATAAATTGAAGTACAGAAATGTACCAGAATGGTACACTAAATTTTCAAAAACAAATCTTCCACATTGCAGTGTTAGCATGAACTGTAGTTGCTATACCAGCTTGAACAGACTGAACTGGTAACTTTTTTTTCTTCTTCGAGTAGTGTCCCTATAGGCACTCCACTTCAGGTGTGCATGCATCCCTTGCATCTTTGATTGGAGGTTTTCAGTAGCAGTGCCTGTTAAGCCCATGCATGAACTCCAGACATCCTCGTTCCCTGTCCCAACTATGAGTAGAGCTGTGTGGCAAACCTCCCTCAGCCTGAGAGAGTGTCTAGCATGCCTGCTTCTAGCGTTGCCCTAAGCTTGCTTTAGGATCATCTAATTTTTAATTTCGTGTAATTATTCACTTCTACAAGTTGTATTTTATAATTTCTTTGCTTCATTTGAGGCAAGCTTTTTTCAGTGCTTCTCCTTCTCCCCGCCTGAGGGGTTCCCTGTGGGGTTTTTTGCCTTGTCGCCAGAGTATGCCAGGATCTCTGGGATTCAAGTACAGTCTCATGTCTCAGGAATCTGTCCCACTGAGTGCTGGACATTGCCAGTACAATTACTGTTTGGGGTACAGTCATATCCCTCAAAAGCACAATACCTATTTAACTTTAAGATCAAAGCTAGAAAAAAACAGGAGATTAAATTCAAGCTCCTCTACGATGGAGCACTCCCATCTTCGGATCCAGGCCACGATACTCCCCTGTACATCAGCCTTTGAGCGTAGTGCCTCATCAGCTTCTGCACCAGATTTCCCCCCACCTTTTCAGGGAAAGATGTTGGAGGGTACCAAATAAGCACTTAAAAAGAGGAGTTCTAGTTCTCCTCATGAAGATCCTATTTCAAAAAAGCCCCAGTGTCTTCAGAAATTGACTGTCGGAGACCTCAGGTCCCAGACTGGATACTGCTGAGGCTCCAGGCTCCTGTAATACTGGGAAGTCTTCTAAGACTCAGAGCCCTTCAAAGAGCCACAGTAACAACCATACATTGGTATCAAAGCTATACTCAGTACCACCTAAGCATGAACGCATTAGGAGAGACAATAAATTCTCTGCTTCCAGAAGCGCTGTACCGACAGGCCATCCTGTGCTGCCTTTAGTTTGTAGACAAGTGATCCAGGGTCCCTTGGTGCGTCCAAAGGAGTCGTCATCTTTGGTACCAATGACTTCTGCTAGACAGGACCCATCAAAGCAGGTCTCAACCTGGTACAGATTGTGGAACATCCCTCATTCTCAGCACAAATCCACCTGATACCACAAGAATTGAGGTATTCAAGAGACTTGTTTGTCTCAGAAGAGCCGAAGTCTCCCCTCTCAATGGGGAGTACCTGTTGATACTGATATCAACCGGGTCACCAGGATTAGATCTTTCCCTGGTGCCACCTGCTTCTCCAGTGCTTTCTCAGCTAGGCAGAGCTCATCCTGTAGACAATAATGAGGACCTCTCTTCAGATTCCCAAATCTTTGTGCAAGGACCTGTCAGCATAGGGACATCTTCCCTGACACCTTTATGGAAAGAGAGGATCTAGGGGCAAGACAAATCTATGTCCCTTCTCATTGGTCTGAGCAGCATTGGATGCCATCTTCTGTGCTTAATGGCTTTCCTCAGTGGCTATATTAGAATCTTTGGGCCACCAATTAACAGTTTTCAAGAGCCTCATGCCTTTCTCATGGTGACCACTGGGAAGACCGTTGCTTCCAACTGCCAGAACGCATGAAGCTTGTACCTTTGTAATATAACATGCCAGGTTACATCTTTGCTGTGTCCAGGGATGGCTCAGGATAATTTATAGCCTGAAGAAGCACAATCTAGTGTCTTTCCCTCACTGAGTACTGGACTTACTCAGTTGGTGGAAGGACCCATCCAGTGTTTGTGCAGGTGTTCCTTTCATCCAGCCTCATATCACCGTAACATTAGATGCAGCCATGGTGGGGTGCAGGGGCACACTTGGGGACGCTCACCATTCAGGGCAAATTGTCTGCCCAAGTGTCTCTTCTACACATCAACCTCCTGGAGCTGAGGGCAGTCAAAAATGCCTGTAGCTATTTCATTCCATTAATCAAAGGCAAATCCATCAAAGTCTTGACAGACAGCATAGCCTGCATGTTCTACATCAATTGTCAGGAGGAAAGGGGTGCAAGATCTCTTCCCCCCGCCCCCCCCCGGTGCTGAAGCAATAAAGCTATAGAACTGATGTAATAACCAATCACGTCCTTATTTCAGTCTCACCTTCCAGGTATATAAAACATGATGGCTGACAATCTCAGCTGTCACTTCTCCCTAGATAACAATTGGGAGCTGGACTTATGGATCCGCAATTGCATTTTTCTGACCCTGGAGTTTCCAGAGGTGGACTTGTTTACTGCCACCACCAACAGGAAGTACAAGAAATTCTGCTCAAGAGGAGGGTGGACTCCTTTCCTCATTCCTTGGAAAAAAGGCCCCTTCTCCATGCATATCCTCCCACAGCTTTGATCTTGAGAGTGTTGAACAAGATCAGACAAGACAAACCCAGGGCCATTTTAGTTATCCCATAGTGACCACGTCAAGCGTGGTACCGTTAGCTGATTCGTCTTTGTTGTCTGGCATCTCCCCACTTGCTGTCTCAGGATTCCCGTTGGACTCTTCATCCCAACCTGGGAATTCTTCATCTCAGAGCTTGGTTCCTTGATGGTTCTTGGGGATAGCATCTTCCTATTCTGCAGACGTATAACAGTGATGTTAAACAGCAGAAAGATACCTTGCGAAACATTTGCCTTCAGAAATGTAAGAGATTTCACCACTGTTGTACTGGGAAGCAGTTTTCACGTGTTCATTCTTCCCTCTTCGCTGTCCTTGACTACCTGTTGGAATTGAAAAAGTCAGGACTCTCCATGAGTTCAGTAAAGCTCATATGGCAGCCAAAATGACCTTTCATTGCTGTGTTGAGGGATTCTCAGTGCTTGCTCACTCCAGGACAGCAAAATTCATTAAGAGGTTGAACCTTTCCACTGAATAGAGCTCACCCCTAAACTTAACTTGGTCCTTAATTGTCCCCTTTGAGCCGGTGGCTGCCTGTTCCCATCTTCACCTGGCCATGAAAACTGCTGTCTTGGTGACTGTCACTTCTGCCAAAAGAGTTGGGGAAAGGGGGCTATAATCCCAGACCCTCCCTTTACAGTATTCTTCAGGGAGAAAGTTTCATTATGACCACATCATAGCCTTCTACCAAAGGTATATTTTGAATTCTGTATTAACCATTAATATTCCTGGATATTCATCTTCCAGTCTTCTTCCCAAAACCACACCAGACCACTGAAGATTTTTCCCTCCTCACTTTGGATGTCAGAAGAGCATTAGCCTTCTATCTGGACAGAACCAAACCATTTTGAAAGTCTCCCAGACAGTTTGTTTATAGACAGAACCGGAGGATCCACAATCTCCACTCAAAAATCTCAAGGTTCAGCCTCCTTCTGAAGTGCCTAGCCCATTCTACATGATCTCAGCATGCTTCTATAGCACTGCTGAAGGATATTCCAGTGGCTGATATCTGAACAGTGGCAACCTGGTCTCCAAACACTAAGCTTTGATTCATGCTGCCAGATCAGATGCTGTATTTAACATTGCAGTTATAACTTCAGTGTTGGACTCAAATCCAAGGCTCCCTCCTGCTTCCGGGGATACTGCTCGGGAGTCACCTGAAATGGAGCACCTATAGGGACATTACTCAAAGAAGGAGAGGTTACTCACCTTGTGCAGTAACTGCACTTCTTCAAGATGTCTCTCTATGGGTGCCCCACTACCCACCCTCCTTTCCCTCTGGTTCAAAGTTTTGTCTCACAGAAATCACAGTGGAAAAGGAACTGGGGGTAGTTTGCCCATGCAGCTCTATATCTCAGTACAGGGCATGAGGCCATCAGGAGTGCTTGTGTGAGACAAATGGGCACTGCTGCTGAAACTCTCTGATACAAACCTCCTGGGAGGCATCTGAAGTTGAGCATCCATAAGAGTGGTGGTGGTGGGGAAATATCTTGAACTGTAGTTACCGCACAATATGAGTAATCTCTCCTTGGTCTCTGTAACTGTGTACTTTGTTTACCACCCTTAACTGAAGTGAAAACTTGTTTTGCTTCTCATCTTGTAAAGCCTCAGAAGCAAATAACTTTATAAATAACTTTGTCGTACTCTGTGTTGCCATCACAGTAATCCTTTATCAAAATTCAGTAATCCTTTGCGTCAGAGCCTTTCATTAAAATATGCAACTCTCCACTCACTTCTGCAGTCTGTAGGGCTTTTTTAAATAGCAGTGTAGCTTACAGAAGGGAAGTGTTTCACTCAATATGGAAACTTCAGTATTCCATGAAAATGTCTGTTTACATTCGTATTCAGAGCAGCTGGAATGACTCTCCTAGTTCCAATAGCCTGCGTAGGAACAGTCAGTTATCTTTCAATAACTTCACACTCGTAACAGGAAGAAGATCCAGAATAAGAGCCCAAGGTTCCCACGGTGCTGTGCTCCCTTGTGCCATCTCATTTTTTATGCTGAAAACACACGTGCACACTCTGCATTGGGCATTTTGGCACGTAGTTTGTGGATATTGCTCGGCTTAGAACAGAATATTGAAGGCCTCCTATAACTATCATGAAAGCTACTCCATTGTATTGCCCCGTACACCATACTATATTGGTATACTTGGATGTTCTGCTTAATCTAGCCTTTTCAGTGAAGACCAGATCCATCCAGACTGACAGCTTGTCAGGATGGCTTTTTAAAGGGAATTATATTTGGCTGCAACTTAACTCATCATCTTGCTCCTGCATCTCCCCTCTCTTGGAGATGATCTTATATTGGAGAATTGTCAGGCACTTATTGATGTAAATGTGAACCGGA